ATTGAGTCCTATATCTTACGGGAAGCCAATGTAGGTACTGACAAAGGGGGGAGGCGTTGGAGGTGTGGGCGGACGGAACTTAAGCCTTTATTCATTATAGACTTTAACGGGCCAATTTGGGAACACGCAAGACCACTGAGAAGAGGATCACAGTAGTCAAGGTGAGAGAGGGCAGCGGCATGGACAAGCACCTTTGCCGTTTCAGGTGTTAAATAGGGTCGGATGTGCGCAATGTTTTTGAGATGAAAGCGGACGGATTTAGCAATTGATTGGACGTGAGGGGTGAAGGAGAGGTCGGAGTCAATGAGAACACCTAGGCAGCGAGCCTTAGAGGTAGAGCGGATGGTAGCGCCATTGACTTGGAGGGACACAGACAAGGGAGTAGCAACACTTGAGGCAGGGAAGAACAGAAGTTCTGTTTTGGACAGGTTTAGTTTAAGGAAATGAGCGGCCATCCAGTTGGAATTAGCAGAGAGGCAGTCAGAGACACAAGTCAAAAGGGGTGGTGATAAATCAGGGGAGGACGGATAAATTTGCGTCATCCGCATAGAAATGACACTGGAAGCCAAAAGAGCTGATGAGTTTACCAAGGGAGGTAGTGTAGATTGAGAACAATGGGGGACCAAGGACAGAGCCAGAGCCAGAGAAAGAAACACTACTTCTCCTTAGGGAGAAGAGGCAGAGCCAGAGGAAGAAACACTACATGAGCGCTTGGAGAGGTAGGAAGAGCACCAGGAGAGATCAGTATCTCGTAGACTGAGATTACGGAGGATGAGAAGAAGCTGTTGATCAACAGTGTCAAAAGCAGCAGAAAGGTCGAGGAGAATTAGGATAGAGTAGTGGCCATGGGATTTAGCAGTGATAAGATCATTGTATACTTTGGTCACAGCTGTTTAACAGAGTGACAAGCGCAGAATCCAGATTGAAGCTGGCCAAGCAGAGAGTTGGATCGAAGAAGTCTGTCAATCTCGCATACACAACTCTCTCAAGGATCTTGGAGACAAATGGCAGTAGCGAGATAGGGCGGTAGTTGGACGGGAAATTGGGGTCAAGGTTGGGCTTTTTTCAGAATCGGGGTTACGGTTGCATGTTGAAGGGTAGAGGAAATGTGCCAGAGAAGAGGGAGAGATTGAACATTTTAGTGAGAGGCAGAACAAGAGAAGGTGACAAAGTGTGGATGAGATCTGAAGGAATAGGATCGAGGGAACAGGTGGTGGGGCATGAGGAATGGAGCAGAGCAGAAACCTCTTCAGCTGAGGGAGTGTGGTCAGGGGAAAAGCTGGTAGTGAAAGGCGAGAGATGAGAGATCTCTTCCCTGAAGAAATCTCCGTGAAGTGAGTTGCAAAGTTTGTGGCAATCAAGTTGGTTGGAGTTAGAGGCACGGCAGGGTGAAGAAGAGAGTTAAAATCATGAAACAGTCGTTTGGGCTCACGGGAGAGTGTGGTTATGAGTGTATTGAACTAGTTTTCTTTCGAAGAGGAAAGAGCCAGACTGTAAGAGCGCAGCATAAATGTATAGTAGAGGAAGTCAGACGCAGAGTGAGACTTTCTCCAGCAGCGTTCAACAGTTCTGGAACATTTTTGGAGGTATCGGGTCAGCTTGGTGTGTAAATGTGCAGCAATAAATATTGTCCAGAAGGCTACCTTGTTTATTGCAACTGGATCAGCTGATAATAACAATAATAATAATAATGCAATACAGATGATAATGCAATGCACAGTTAGCCAAAAGTGTATAGGGGTTTAAAAAAATACCCTTAATAGCTTAATTGTTAGTATACAACTCACCTAGGAGGTTTTGCCTTGACATGGCAGGTGAGCTAATACTTAAACAGCCATTGGAGTGATACTAAAAAACCTCCAGTTATATAAATGTGCATAGGGATTTGGTGCACACGTAACGTTTTTCTTTGAGCAGAAAGAAATCCCCTAAGTTTTTGAATAATGTAAATGATGTATTACAAACATATCCCAAAATTGTTAAATTAATAAAAGAAGGAAAAAAAAATGTTAAAATAGCCATGCCAGCTCAAGTAATTATTGTAGCAGATAGACTCCCTCCACTGCAGGGAGAAGCTCCACCAATCAGGTTTTCATTCTGTTCTGGTTTTTTTATTTTTTTATTTAATCCCACAAATGCCGTCCAGAAGCAATTTAGGGAATACATTTGACAGTTCCACTCACTACGTAGGATTAGTGAAACTGACGAATAAGCTGCTAGTATTCTTACCATAGCACCTATCGGTTTACACACAGCCAGATCACAGGTTTATGAATCAAGATGTTTGGAGTGAGCAGAGCTGCCCACTGCACACTTTGCGATTTGAGAACTCTCAAGAGTCTAAAAGAAGAGGAGAATGATGTCCAAGTAAGATGTCTGAGATCCACAGAGCAGTATTACAGTCACTGTGGACAGACCCTCTGCTCCATAATATTTACAATGATGCAAAGTTTGTAATTGTAGAAAAACAAATTGCAAATCACATTCTACAACAAATTAATGCAGGGAGACTGATGATCAAGTAGGGTTCACAAATGTCAATTGCTTGCCAGTAACACAAGTAAGTGTAAATGGTTTAGAACAGGGGTGCAAAAATGTAGATCCCCAGATGTTTTACAACTACAGCTTCCATGATGCTTTGTTATTCTAACTGGCATGAAAAGCATCAAGGAGTTTTAGTACTACGACATTTATGGATCTACCTTTTAGTCACCCTTGGTTTAGAAATAAATGTATTGTATAAAATCAATCCGACTAAACACAATTCAGGGAGTTCTGTAACTGTTACAAGTTAAAGGCCAAATATGATAGTAAAGCACAAAAAGACCTGCTGTTCAGATCAATGGTAACAGTTTGCAAAGTCATATTCAATGTAAAAAATAAACATTTCAGAAATCTAGACAGATATGCACATCTAGACAGATTGTACAACGGGGTTTGTGGATAAAGGGGAAAAAAAGCCCTTTTAGACCATGATCAGTGTGTTTGCCAGAATTTTTCAATACTCATCAAACCTCTCTTCACTGCCAAATTATGTTTGGAAAATAATAGTTCATTTTGAACATGTTATGAATAGCTAGAACCTAAACCCGCAAGCTGAGGTGTGTGCCGTAGAAGAAAAACTATGCAGGTTTATGGATTTTTATTTTTTTTCATCTATTCATTTATTCTTCATAGAAATATTGGGAGATATAAAGTATTTGAGAGTATGATATATACTGTTTATTTTTATAACACTTCTCCCAGGATCAAGAAATATAAATTACAAAGGTCAAAAACTCTCAGTAGTATTTGTGTGAGGCATGTATTAATTTATTTTGGAATCCAAATCTCAAAATACTACCAAGATGTAAACATTATTACAGTTTATGAGCAGGATAACCACATATAGTAATTACAATTGTAAACACCGGGTATCTTTATTACACAGGGCATTACACAAATGCAATAATGCATGCCCAGGTTTTATTTGGCACACTTAGGCACCATATGACAACACTTCTCCAAAAGATCCCAGCAAAAACCAAAAACAAGCTGTGATTTTATTTACTCCACCACCTGCAAAGTCACAAACACCAGTGCATGTGTTCTCATTCTCCCAGCTAGAGACATATGCTGTGCTGACAGACACACTATCCCACACACAGGACTACTGCAGAATATGATACATACTGACCCATACAGCACATGAGAGTTACCAGCATCGCATTCAGATCCTGGTCACTGCTATGGAGATGCCACATCATCCTTCAGCAATTACTAGTCCACAGAACTTCTTTATGTCAAATTAAACAACATTTAGCTTATTTTTTCCAGTGCAGGAAGGAAAAAAAAAATCAGAGTCAGAAAG